GCTTGTCCTGAATGCAATCACAGCCAGCCAGAGCTAGATACCACACTCTCATCTCTTGGCTCTGCTCAAAATTCACCCTTGGAAAGACACCCTTGGCTTCCTGCTCCTACACCAGCTGGGTATCCAGGAGACTTGTTAAGATGCCTGAATCTGACAGCTCACACATTTGATCACCTAAAGGCTGCATATAGATATTTACTATACAGACAGATATGTGGAGTCAAAATTATGTCAACCTCAATTGTCTGCTATGTCCTTCCACCAAAAATGCCCAGATTAGCTCTCCATAAATTCTGAAGGTGGGAGAAGCACAGAGTCCCCCCCAGTCCACTCCATAAAGAAACAGAAACCCTTAGCTTAAGCACACAATGAAAATAGCTTCTACCAATACAGATGACATAGTGAAACAAACTACAGAACACAGATATTATTTTCTCCTTCTTTAAGAGACATAGAGATGGTAATAAGAAAGCTGAATATAGGAAACCAGTAGCAAAGTCTTTACCACAACTGGATTCCTCCTCTCTCTTCTTAGTGAATTAGTGAACTTAGAGTGACAAGGTTAATTTGGAGAGCACGTGTTACATTGAGAAAACCCCACATGGACATAGATGTGCCCAGATTAATGTTTATATAATAAAAACACTTAAGCAACTTTGCTCATCTTACAAAGTTACTTTGTATAACCATCACAAGCAAGTTTTTTATTTCAGAATTCTTAGAGCAGCCATTTACCTCCCTGGGGAGGGGAAGAAAGAATCTGCCTTTTTCTGATGAGTTTGATTTCCAATATTTATTTTTCAACCAGTCTTTTAATATTAAGCAGTGGTCTAAAGAAATGCCCAAGGTATGTAAGTGGAACATCTAATTAATTTCTCCATGTGGATTCTGTGCACTTCAAATATCCCATAAGTAACACCTACCTTCAGGAAAACACATTCTGTTACAAATAGAAATTGCTTTTATCAGGTTATAAAGAATATGGTCTCTATTTGCTTTTGACCTTAAGGAACTAATCTACAGAAGGATTGCTAGAACGAGAAAGTGTTCAAATCTCTTCAGTTGCTAACCTGAACAGACATTGCAAGCACTATATGGAAAATCTCCATTTGTTGACATCTTGGCAAACTAAGACCTTTGCTGAACATTGCTGTGTAATCTAAGTATTTCCCTTCTAGGAGAGGAGGGGGCAAAGATCTCAGAACACTCTGAAATAGTGTACTTCAAGTGCTTGCTCTTACCTCAAGGTACGGAGCACTGGTTAGACCCCATTCAAGACAGCCCACAGTGTAAATACAGTATTTTAAAAAGCCAAAAGCTTAGTACTCAAAGGTTTTTTCTCCAATATCTATCTCTATTAACCTCTTGTTCATAATGAAACACTCCAGCAGCTAGCAAAGCCAGCAAATCTTCCCTCCTCTTGTGCACGGCTTTCAGGAACGCTGCTATGCTGTAAAGGCAAAATTATCATTGCCCAAGGACACAGAATTCAACAACAAAATCTCACTCAAAATGAGATCACAGGAGAACAAATGTATGGATTTTCACAGACTTAGGTCAACTCCAAGATGTATAAACTGACACAATGCTAGTCAAAGAAAACAGTAACCCAGTGCTCCTGTCCCATAGTCTATACTTGTTTGAATCATGCCATAAAGGCCGAATGTTTTGTACCTGAGAGAAATGAATAGCTTAGCTAAAAAAAAAAAAAAAAAAAGAAAAAAGGTAATTTAGCACCTTTCAGCTACCCTCAGGATACAAAAGCCAGACTCAACCCAAATACTACAAAAATATTGAAAGATACACAATACCAAATTAGTTCCCAATTTCTAGAAGCATGAGTACAAGTCTATTTGGTGTTTGCCTCAATTTGGGCACTTTCCTAAAGCTGGACTTGTGTTGGCAGTCTTAAGCAGCTGTAAGTCCTGCATTATAAAGTCACACCAATTTAATCTTTTAAAAACACTTGCACTCGCTCCTAAGAACCAAAATAGTGCATTTTAACAAGAAAATAACCAGATTTTATGACAAGTGATGCTGGAATGGCCTCTGCTGAGCTTTCTGCCACCACCTCCTGCCTCACGCGGCCTCTGCACCAGCTCCTGCACACCCAGCTAAGACCCCAGTGAGGTCCCTCCAGGACTTAACCCTGCAGAAAACAAGCTCTGCAGGTGAAAAGCTTTCTGTGACACTTTGTGTGGGTTTAACTCCCTGAATGAGCTCACCAGGAGCCAGGCGAGTGTCCCCTGCCAGGCCATCAGTAGGGGTGGGGGAAGGAGACTGTGTCCTTGTGGTAACAGCCATCCATCAGCTCAGCCCAAGGAAAGGACATGGAACTCAAGTCACCAACTTCACATTGTTCACTGCTTTTATTACTCTGTCATGCACTTGCTGGCTACTGCTGATCTTAAAAATGATTTAACTAAAAATATCTTAGTAATTCTAAGGTTTTTAACTAACGAATTCAGTATTTCAGCTTCTTTAAAAACCTCTTTGATTTAAGGCAGTAGTAAATTAAGATTTAAATAATGTTCTTCAAATACCTCTAAGCAAATACTTAACCTCCCAGGTTTCAGTTTTTTCACAACATTTGTTAAATAAATTACAGAGGTCATTTCCATGGCTCAGGAGAATTTGACTAATATTATGATGAATATTCCTGGAAAATCTAATTTTATTGAGCATAACATGACTTTTATGGATGTCACCATATCTGGTCTACATCCAAATAAATGTTAAAAATAGTAAGAACAGAGTTATATTAAACCAAGAAAGTACAAGGTGTTTTGATGCAAAATTTGGTTTATACAAAATAGAAAAATACTTTTTCCAGCAGCTGTAAATTCAAACAGCTAAGAGATAATCACCAGAAAAACTGCTCCCCATCTTAAGAAGACACTGGGGAGCTGGTATTTATGTATTATGCAAAAAACTGATTCCAGTGAAATTGTGCCTGAGATATCATTCTTAGTAGCAAAAAGTCACAAACAAAAGCATACAAATAAAAATTACAGATAAATAAAAAATTTTGGTTAATCCAGGATTTAAATTGGTTACTAGTTATATTAACCTCTAATTTCAAGTGCAGACAAAAGGACACATCCAGAATGACATAAGTTTTTTTCTTACCATGCTCAAGATAGAACTGTTTGGCATACCTGAATAATCCAGAAATCCAGAAAAAAAAATTAAAAGGCAAAGGATTTTGATTATACTTTTAAATCACTAGTGTATCAAAACAATTTTTGAAATTGTTTCCTTTGCCTAACTGAGCCATCCCAGAATCCATCAGTTTACATTTATTTGCAGATCAAGAATACATTAAGACTTCACAAATTACTGTTCTTCTCTCTTCTCAATTATGCCAACATCATTCAAGCACTATCATTCCAGAACCAAAAAATATAGTCTTTTTCACAACAGCAGCCATCATCTCCCAACATTCCAAAAGAAAAGACAAAGATATTAGACAACAGCTTTGCTGCAACTCATCAGCAACAGATAAAAACTGCAAAGTAGCAGCACTAGTCATGCAAAACACCTGGTGCTGCAGGCTGAAAATAACAACAATTCTCAAGGCTGTTTGTTGTTATTATCTTAGATACCATCTTGTATTTCCTATCAAAATAACGAGTTCATGTATGGCATTTCAGTGTATATGTAATTAAAAGTTCCATGAACAGCTATGTCCCCCTTAGGCAGAGCTGGATATAGACTTTTCAGGCGTTACTTCTCAAGCTGTGGCTAATCACAGCTGATCACTCTGCCAAAGCAGCAGCTGACTCTTTAGGAAAGTAGTAATTGTAACGTGAAAATCAGAGTTGTACATGCTTCCTGTTTTTTGGTCATGGCTACTATTCCAAAGGCAAACCACACCCCCTGCCCGTCCCCAAATATACTAACATCTGGAATTTCACAGAAAAACCGACAATAAGCAACCAAGGAACAAAGTAAAAAAAACCTGATCCATAACGAAAACTTAAACCCACTCTGGCCACTGTTGTTGGGTATTACAAAAATTAAACAAAATTAAACAAAATTCTGTTCAGAAAATGTTTATGACTTGTATTCCAGGCCTGCCTTACTCGATACTTATCTATTAAAAAAAAATTTGCTCTACAATCAAAAATTAATCAAAGTTCCTACTTATTATTAAAAACTCAAGAACAATTAGTGACTCTAAGTTTCTGGACAGGCAGCTCTATTTTGACATACTGGGGCAACTATGAAAAACCAAAAATAACCAAAATAAAAGCAGTGACTTTAAACACAGATTACCATACCTAAGAGTGTTATTTGGGTTATTAACCATCACTATGTTTCATGCCAAATGTTCTAGTTAGAATGCAAGTGGAAGCATACCTGTATTAGTATTCTTTTGTTAAACCACGGTAGCACTTCATATAATTATGAGGAGCAATGGGAAACTTTAAGGGGAAAAAGGGAACTACAGACAAGGCAACTGGCTGCCCTTGTAATCTGCAATCAACTTCAAGAGCTACTTCAGGTCATGAGAAATTTCAAGATGATAACTCTTTTATAGTTCTCTTCCCACGGTCAGAAAAAAATACCACATGGAAAAGAAATACTCCATGAAAAAACTACTCTTTCACTAGCTTTTATGCTAACTTGCACGTAAACCAAACAATGTAAAAGGGTATCAATCACTCTCCTATTTAGATGCATTTTCAAAGTCATGTGAAAAGCTGTAAGAATGTTCAACCAACATATATCAGCTGTCTCATGTACTGCTTTTGGATATTGATATCTGCAACCCCTTTACCGGATCTGGCATCATTGTCCAAGCTCAGATGACTCAGATAAAAACAATGTGAAAGCATAGTTTGTTTTCATGTTTAAAGGCACAACTGGTCTCCTGCAACAATAACAGGAAGAGCTGCTGGGATCGATACGCAAGATTACGAACAGGGGCTTTTCTTGTCCTACCCAGCAACACGCACGTGGAACTCTCTCAGCCAGGTATCACATGCCACACTTACCAGATCTCTGTGAAGCACCCAGTTTGCATGGAGGTAATGGATTCCATCGAGGATCTGGTAGAGTAGGGATTTAACCATAGATCTTGGCAACTGCATGGGTTTTTTATTTGCTTTTGAGGCACGGTGAAACTTGATAATATGCTAGAAATAAAACAAGTAGAAACATAAAGAAAGTTAGGTATTAGGTGTGAAGGTTGGGTGTTTTGGGATATTTTAACTTCTAACACCAAAGAATGGAATGAGATACAACGTCTGTTGAATTCTGGAATTAAAGTAATAGTGATGCACTCACAATTCTCTTAAAATTGTTTTTATTCCCTGACTTGCTTCAAAGAACAGCTGTGACATTTTTGTGAATATCTAAATACTGGCTACTTACCTCCAGTAAAGGATCTTAGACATTCTCCTTCCTCCCTTCTCCCCATATGGCATCCTCTTACCCTTGGCAGCTAGACCAGAACTTTTCAAACCAGGAGTATCTTCTAGTAGGAGGACCACACTCTATTCATAGAGACTTTCCCTCCTCCTCTTCAAAAACACCCAGGCTAGCATACTTGCAACTACTATTCCTCCCAAAATCAGGATCCCAGTAGACAGATTAAATAAATATTTTAATAAATATTTGAAGGCGGGGAAGGTAGAACTCCAAAAACCCCACACCACAACATTTGGGTGAGATCATGTTCAAACATCTAAAAATGGTTGTCTTCTTGCTCCCAGTTTATGGCTGCATACTTCACTGATGATGACAAGCTGGTGGCTCTTGGGTTACAGAAGTCAGTCTGTCCACTAGAGGACAAACACCACTTGAAAACATAGAATGCAGTAAAGGACCCCAGTATTAGTTGAAGGAATTAAAAAAAAAATAATTGAAAGATTGCTGAGAGATCATGAAATAGTCATAAACTAATAAATTCTAAGATCAATGCGGAGATGATGGGTTAGGTCTGGTCTTGCTACCCTGTACAAAAAACTAACTGGAGTCAGGCCATTCTACCTTTTCAATCCTCAGAGAGGTGGGGCTTTGCAGGGCACAAATCCAATCCTAATATATGGTCATTCAGCAAACAACTAAATATGTTCATTGAAATGGAAAAAAAAAATCTCCTTTTTGAAGGCAATTCAATGAAGCACCTCAAATAACAAAGTAGTTTTTAATTATGTGTCTTTTGAAAGGTGGAAATGATAAAAGCAGTTTGCATTTTTACTGAAAACCATACAAAATGCTAGAGTAGGCCTATTAATTACCTGATTTTTTAAATAGGATATGTCTAGCTGAAGATCTTCTCCCTTCCCAGGTTAAAGAGGTAGCCAAAGGCCGTGTTTTAATTAGACCACTGCTCCCTCCTCCACCATCCCCACTCCCCACTCAGTCTGTCACTGCTGCTCCCAATGACAATGGTAATGAGGTAATGTTTGCTCATGGTAAATGCTACCTCTGGCTGACACCAGTACTTGAGCCACTGTCAAACTGTATTTAGCAAAGCTGTAAACAATAGTGTTTAAAGAGAAATAAGAAAGGCAGAAAACACCAAATGAATCAAAACAGCCTGCTTACTCCCTATACAATATTCCCACAGAGCCTTCCACTGGTAAATGTACAGTATTTATGACTTTGTACTAAAAAACAGCAGAAATTTACAGGATTGTCAGTTTTCAATATACTCATGAGGATCAGTAAACAAGATGAGCTCTTAGTACCTGATCCTTAGTTGTGCACTCTGGAAACTATTGAAATGCCTTAAGGGGATTATTTCCTTAGAAATTTTTTCTTGTGATGTCACAAGAAGATTCTGTCTCATAACTTCAACTAGGAGTCCCTAGTACTACACAATGCTCACTGAATAGCGACCTTCATGTGCAATTACAATATGATTTATAAAGCAGTAATGATACCATAAACTCACAAATTAGTATATTTATTAATACAAGAAATGAAAAATGAAAAATACAGAGGAACCAACAGGCAAAGGTCATACAGAAAGGCCCATAAATCCAGTCCTGCCCTTTTTCAAGGTGCATGTAATCAGTAGAAGGGATTTCTACACCCATCTAAAAACCAACTACTACACACACAAAACATTAGTCCTTAGGCACAGAGAAAATGAAGGAGTCTTATGAGACAGAAAGGGACACAATTAACCACAGATGTGTTGAGGAGGAACAACACACGTGACATGGCTCTGCCTCAGCTGCTCTGGTACCTCTGGAAGCCAGGAGTGAGACAGCACCAGGTTGATGCCATTGGACTTCTGTCCTTGCCCCGCCCATGTGGCTCTCAGTTAGAAAGGCTAAGGAAACAAGCTCCTTTCTTCAAAGGGTTATTGAATTGCAAAAGCAAATAAAAATGGATAGTTTTGCTCGAAGCAAGCAATATCACCACTAGGTAAAATCCAATTTCCTGCAAAATCAAATAAAACCTGTTGTTGCCAGCTTACACTGTGGAAGTTTATATCCGAAAGACTGCAATCGTCACAGTTTAGAGAACTGAACAAAAGCTAAAAATATACTGCAGGGCCAAGTAGTATAGGGAACTGAAAATCGAGATTTGCCCCATGACATTGGAATGAATCCACAGTGTTTGTGACCAAGTCCTACACTGAAAAGTTGTTTAAAAAAAAGTAGTTCATCCAATTTCTTGTAAGCAACTAGCCATATGAAGAAAGAATAACACACCTAACGAACACTAAACAGCAATTTTAATGGCAGTGTCCATCTAAGAAATAGAAGAGCAAACAGGTGCTGCTTCAAGTACAGCACGTAACAGCCAGAACCTTAGACCTAGTAAAGGCACTGAATAATTTACAGAATTACAGCCTGCATTTCCCATTTCCCAGAAAACTGACTTAACCACTAGGCTTCAAAACTACCCTTCTCTCATTCAATGAATCTTTTTGCTGAATAGCATAAAATTAAGACTTTCCTGTGAGCTGACTATAAATCTGAACCATGACAGGTATGAAGCATGTTCTGCCTCTCTCTAGGAAGCATGAGGTGCACTTGGTACACTACAGTTTGTAACCTTTAGGTATACTCAAGTTCTTAGCTGAATCTTACCCTAATGAATAGCCATTAAGGACAAAACATGAGGACTTCCACAATCCAGGCAAGTCAGAGGCACATTTGTAAAAAAACAATAAGCAGAAGGTCAATAAGCTTCAGTATATCCCATGTCTTTTTTCACTGAAATTCCTTAAAGAAAACTCACATATCCTGATAGATAACTTGGCCAAAAAAGCTGGTAAACACACAGACTCATTCAGCAAAATTAATGAGGAAAGTTATTGTCAGTCCACACTATACCAGTTGCATGCTACAGAACAGAAACCTATCCACAATGTTATGCAGACATAAATTCATTTTAATTACTTCATTAGAACACTGCAAGCTCTCTTCCGATATATTTTAAATCTTTCAAAACAAAAGAAGAACACACATAATAAGAGGCAAATGTAACTCCAAGCAATATTGAAATCTATTCAGCAAAATAGCCATTTTACCTTTCTGTACATTTCTGATTCCTAAATCTTAAAAATATGCTGCCACTGACTGGATCCCAAAAATTGTGTGAGCCAATTATGTATTCATTATTAAATATAATGTAAAATTTTTTCTACTGTTTGTACATATTTTCGTTTTAATTTAAACAAGACAGCAACTTTGTAGAAGTGATTTAAGTCTTTAGTCTAAATTAAATTAATACTTCACTGACCAACATTAAAGTACACATTCAACAAGAGCCTAGGAAAACAATGAAGGTATAATTTGCTGCTTGCAATATCTGGAACTATTGGATTTACTTAATAACTGCTTATTCCAAATTTTCAACTTTAAAACATGTAATAAAATTGCAAGGAAAACTGGAGGAACCACATTATTTCAGTAAGACAATTTTACCTCTTGCAAAGGCAAGACCATATAAATGATTAAAAAACGAAGAGGAGAAACAAAACTAGACATTTGGAAATAAAATTAAACAATATTCAATCTAGGAGTTTGCCTTCTTCTGTGTTACCTTGTGCATTGAAATTTCTTTGAAACCTGGCTGGTGAAGAACTATGTGCATTCTCTAAATTCTCCACCACAAACAAGGCAAACATAATGCATAACAACACAGAGCAAATTCAAATCCCCAGGATTTACCCAGCAGTTAAGTGAGCATTCAATAAGATCCTAATTTTAGTCTGTTTCCAAGTCTGTCTGTGTTTGTGTCATCCCATTCCCAATTCCAAGAACTGCTGTTCAGTGTGACAGAGGTTAAAACAAGCAAACAAACAAGTTAGACCTAGAAACTTTTCACTAAAGTAGGAAGCCAGCTAACAGAGGGATTTTATGCATGTCTGATCAAATGAAGCTACAGTGAGCTTCCACCTCAACATACGTGAGGCATCCATAGACACAAGCCTCTAGAAAACCTGACTGCTTGAGTTCTACTGCTTAAGGCAATGCTTGTTGAAAATTACATGCATCTCCTTCAAACTGCAATGCAATCATGCCAATGCAGATGGCTCTCCCTGCTGAAGCAAACTGCTTGTGCTCCCATCCTTCAGCAAAAACCCTGCATTCTATCCAATCCCTAATCCAGCCTTTGAGAACAAAACAGAATTATGTCAATGTGCCAATAAAAAGTAAAGCTGCATTTTAATACTGAGGAGAGGGAAGCTTGGATACCTGTAAAATCTGTACTAAGACCAAGAGGATTTATTTTATACAGGTTCTAGTCTCATTTTTAACAAAAAACCACCTCAAATTACTACATTTGCTTTAAATGTAAAGCATTCAAAAAGGTTATGAAAGAACAAATCAAAATCTTAAGGTGGTATAGAAACTAACCATGCATTGTTTCCACGATTTTCAAAAAGAGAAAGCAAAGACCCAATGAACCCAAGTAATTTGTTTGCTGTTCCAAAAAAAAACCCACAGTTTGATATGCCTACACTTACGACTCATTTCAGACATCAAGAGTTTTAGAAACTAAGTAAATTTTGTCAATGTACTTATCACAAGTATAAAATCAAAACAGAAGAGGATAGAAGTACTTCTAGAGCAACCACTTTATTTTCCAATTTTGGAAACATTAGAGCAATTAACATAAACTGTCCTTCAAAAGAGAAGGGGAAGGGAGAATGCTTTTTTCCTCT